ATAATGACTGTTGTTACTCAGTCTTACCTCTTTTCCCTTACAGAATTTTTAAAATCCAACTCATCTGTTCAATCCAGCTCTATATTCTCAACTGTCATATCCCACTTTGATTAATTCAACCTGTTCTCTGACCATGACACTTTCCCCTTCAAGCCTCTCTACTGACTCACTTTCATCTACAAGTTCAAATTCAATTCCTCATCCACACTTGCAAAACCTTGCATAACTCCACCCTCATCTCACGTTTAATTTCTTGCCCAGCTCCAATTAAATTTTTTTAACTACAACCACAGCATCAGACTGAAAGGTGCCTTTATGCCCCTCTCCTACTCTCAGCTTTGTCCTTGAAATAATCACTCACTTTTGGTGGGATACATACACTCCCCCTTCATTCAAGTCCTTCCAGGAAAGGCCAACTTTCTTTGAAGTTCCCTAGCACTAATTCAGAATCATCAAATCCTCCTTGCTAACCTAACATAACTAGAAGGGAAACTTCATGAGTGAAGACAGAAGATTTATATGTACAGCAAAAAAGGAAATGAAAGAGCAGTACCATCAAGATGTGATCACCACATCCTTCAGTAATCAAATATTATTGTAATCTTAATCTTCACTTTTTCCCCACTAGCATCTACTTTTCCAATTCATTAAATTATGTCTAAACTTAGACTGTTATATCCTAGAAGGATGGCTTGTGTACTAATTCCAGACAGCCCTGAAGACTAATAACCAGCACAGCTTAATGAGCTGCTTGCTGGCACATTAGGCAGCAGGCCTCCTTCCTAGCCTAGCAAGAATTCACTACTCCCCCATCGTCATTATACAGCAGCTTCATTCTTCTGCTAAACTTACGCAAAAATGTCAAAGAGGTTGTTCAGCCCATGCGGGGCTACTCCTTTCAATCCCCTTACTTCTAGATCTGCTATAGGAAGGTGTCTGTTCCCATTCTGCAGCACTTTCATCCTTTTATATAAAGTACTCAACTGCTTCCCAGCCAAGTCTAACAATTATAAAGGTCTCGTTTTCCCCTTAAAATGGGGCAGTGTTACATATAGCATAGGTAATAGCATGGTGCAACCCACATGCTTCAAGAACACAATTTTCTAATAGTGTTACTTCTAGCAAAGAATATCTAGGCTTCCAAGCCATTCTTTCTTTGGATCTCAAAGGAGGTGCTACTGAGTTTGTCAAACATTAAGAAATGTAATCACTTCAATTTTATGTTCTTCAGTTACATCCAGTATGTTCCTATTGTAAATGACATTCTAACCTAAATTTAAAAATATACCTAAAAAGGTCAAGAGATCTATACTCCATTGCTAGTCTCAACTTATGAAGAGGATAACTGTTTTCCAATCAAAACATTAAACACTTGTAATGTGAGTATAATGAATTTGAAGACATTATCTAAAAAAATGTGTGTTTATGACCAAATCAAAGTATTTTAAAGGGTATTACAAACCACTAGGTGGCAGGACTTACTGCATTATCAGTCATCAGATAACAATTTATTCGCTCGTACAGCTGGTTAGCCAGAAGATGGCATTATATGCCTACACTTTAAGTGATTAAGTAACATTACTAAGAAACTAGCATTGATTATAGTTGACCAAACGCAGTAACATACATTTTATTAGAGAAAGTTATAAATGACTTAAATGTAAGAGATCTTGACTTACATTTTGAATATTAATTTGTAGATCCATTTTGTAGTGATTAAAGTCTTTGGCAAGTTCATATCCTTGATGATAGAAAGTGAACAAACCCTGAAAAAATGACAGCACCTGAAATATAAGCAGAAGACAATTTCAGTTATCAGAGAAAGGTTGTTGTATTTTCTTGTAACCCTTTAGAAAATTAAAACCAAAAATTGTTTTTTGTTTGTTTGTTTCTCAAATGTCCCCTATTCACAATGAACTAGTTAATTTAATTAACAGATTGGTAAGGAAAAAAAAGTCAAAACAGTGAGAGTAATAACAAAGGAAAAGATGGACTTCTGTATTGTGTATGAGAGGCACAGCCTGATTTAACAATACTTTGAAGCTATGTTAAATGGAACATTTTAAGAGTGCTTTACCACCTTTACAAAAATAGAATCGCAGGTTACATTCTCAGGGGAAATTAAACAGAAAAAATAATTCACAGAGTCCCACTATATCAAGGGGTTTCAACCTTTTTTAACAAGTATACCCCTTCTGGTGGTGGCGGCTGGACCGGGCTGGGGGTGCTCACATACAGCAGCTGCCAAGCTGCCACCCACTGCCCTGCACCACTGACCCTGACGCCCAATGCCCCACGCCGCAACTGCGACCTGAATTCCCATGACCATTTGCACATGCGGCTCTGTAGGCTGCTGACAGGCCTCGCACCCGGTCAATTGCATACCACTCGTAAGCAGCCTGCAGAGCCGCAGGTGCAACTGGCCGTGGGAAAGCAGGCCAGACAGTGCCTGCGTGGTATGCAGAGGGGCGCCACTGACTTTGCACCCCACTCCCTCCCGGCCCTGCCCCTGGGAGCGGGCATAGAAACACACTTTCCCCGCCACTGCCATTGAGACCCTCGCAGCAGCCAATCAGGAGAGCAAGCTGGGGTGGGGGCAGCGAGACACCATGATGTGCCATGTGGGGCCGGCAGTGCCCAGCGTGTCTCTCCCCCAGGTAAGAGGCAAACGCACCAGGGGAGTTGCTGCCACCATGCCCCGGGGCATGCTCCATCCCCGCCCACCCACCTACGTGCCCGTCCGTTCATGCATACCCCCGAAGATCTTTCTAAGTACCCCTGGGGGTATGCATACCCCTGGCTCACAACCCCTGCACTATATAGTCAGATACAAAGCAAACAACAGCATCCTCTCAGATACAGCTTGCCCAGTCTACAGGGCAAAGATTTTATCAATAGGTAGCAAAGCTTCAAATTGCAAAAGCACAGACATAAGTCCTGAAAATGCATTCTAAGACATTATTTGGGTTGGTCTAATAAAAGATATTAAATTCACCCAAGGAACCTTGTCTGCCTATGTCCTTAAACCAACACAGCTACAACCTACACCCCTGCTTCTAAGACAGACTGGTTTCAAACTAGGCCGTGAAGAAATGGCTCAAAGGGCTTGTGTCAAAGAATGACTAAATAGCAAAGAGGCAAAGCTTCTGGGTACATTTTTTTTTAAAAGGGGAAATTTTGAAAAATGTTTAAGGCCTTGTCCACCACTACTTTAAAACGAAGAAAGCAAAGCAATAAACTCCTATGCTATTTTACAAAGCTAACATATAGTTAAAGAGTTCTTATGCCAGTATAACCTATCCCTGCTTCCCAAACACAAGCAAATTATGCCAACATAGTACTTTAATACCAGTAGATCTAGGCATTTATGCTAGTATAACTATTTTGATAAAAACAAAATAAAGTCTATATGCCCTTAACCAAAATAGTTATATTTGTTGAAAATCTGAGTTCTCTAGGCCTAATGAATTTGAGGATTTAAGTCAAGGGGACTGTTTTGCCTAGACCCCTCAGCTTTGCAGAAAAATCCATTCCCCCATTTCAACAATTAGACTCTAAGCATTTCATTAAAATAAAAACCTTGAAACCATGTAATATTGGCCTAAGTTTAACACTGGGTTAGACTCCTAACTCAAATATGAGGAAACTTTAGGACAAGTCCAGCCAGGAACTTTAAATAAGCCTTAGTAGCATGTTTATGGATTGCATTGAAACCCAAGGGAAATTCATTCTTTTTCCAAAGCTTCGTCTCTCTCAAAATTTGAGAATTTCAGATTACCCCTATTTTGGAGATTCAGGAATGCATGCTGCTTTCTAGTGAACAGGTACAAACATAAATTAAGTCAACAGGACCTCATCTTAGATTAAAAACAGGTCTTTGGATTACTAACATTTGAGTGGCTCTGAATTAAATCAAAATAACCAGTCTGCCAAAAGCCCCCATAAGCCAAAACTGACAAATGATACTTTTTGTTTCATGGTCTGTTATATTTCCCCTCTGTCACTTAACTAAAAAAATAAGTTGTATTGCTTTCTTAATAAATTGCATTCCATAATACTTACAGGTTCCACACACTCAAATGTCTTTCGTTCCTGTATCTCCTGCAGCTTACACACATACTCAAGAGACACCTCATAGAAGTGTTTTCTATTTTGCTCCACTTGGCTGTCAGCCTGCATGCAAAATACAGTGATTAGAAGTTTCACAGACATAACGTATTGAATGACATGCATTAAGTATTAAAGATGGTAAATAAGATGTTCTCCAGACCAGTGACTCGCTCACCCCAACAGTATATACTAGTCAATAGTTCACTTTTAAAATATAAAAGCCTTGACATGCTCTATATTGGAAGATTTTGTTACATTGTTTTGTTTCAGAGGGTTCATTTTCTTCACATGCACACAACTAAAATAACATTTCTTTACATTTCCATTTAATCTTATTTCAGATCAAACAAGTTGGTGCAAATATGCACTTAAAAGAAGGCCCCTCAGGGACACAGAGGAGGGAATACCTGGATTCTTCTCCTAAAAGGGGTGGAAACTGCCTCCGTTCAACCTGGAAAAGTAAGTGTTAATGCAAAAGATCCCTCTGTCTCACACCCCAGGCCCACCCTCCTCCCCCACAAAATAGGTTAAATCTGAAAGGTATGGAAGTTTTCAGCCATTTCCTCGTCTGCCCTCCCTACACTTATATGGACTGTGAAAGCAAAAGATAATTTTCTGGCTCCTAATTTAATTGCCGATTTGTCATGGGTTCTCAGGATGTATTGCGAAGGATATCTGTGTGACATACTGCTGGCAACAAAACAACAATTTAAAAAGACCCCCATTCATTCCATATATTAAATGTACAATGCAGCTAACAAAATATTGGAAATTTAACAAATGCAACCTTATTTACAACCCAAGCAGCTGTTTTATTATTTTGGCTTTTACAAAGTGCCAGTGATACACTGATCCTGTGTATCCGTTATGTTTCAGCTACCATTCATTCCTACCCAGACACAAGTATTACTTCATGCAGTTTGGAAGTTATTTATGCTATTAAAAATGACACGCGTCCCAGCCAAGCTTCATGACTGCAGAAGAAATGAATAACTGGAATTCCTTTTATTGGAATAAATTAAGAGACACTGACTACTGGCAAACTTTAACATTATTATGGGATGGGATCTGATTCCTGATCACAACTGCACATCTTAACATGCCCTTGCCATGCCAGACACACATGGTGGACATACAAGTGTTGGGATCAAGGACAGATCCCAAACATGCGACTGCTGGCAGCCACGTGCAAAGTAATCAGAGGCTCTTGGCTGGGGAGGCTGAAGGGCTCCTCCCACTGGCAGTTTAAACTTCACATCCAGCAACCCCACTGCAGTTAACAACAGGACCAGGGGTGCTTGGTAGGCTCTGGACTACTGGGTATGAAGCTTAAACTCCCCAGCAAGGGAACCCCTCTGTGTCCCCTCCACCAGGAGCCTATTTATTTTCCAGGGCTGCTGGGCATGGAGACATTTGAGCCAAGGGGTTTAAACTCTTCAGCACTATGTAATCAAGCCTGTCACACAACTACACGTTAACCTGCCACAGGTAAAGCAGGGGGACAGCTGCTCTGGTGTTCTGCTGCTGCAAGGCTTATTGAAATGCACTCAAGAAATCAAACGGCCATGCTTTGGAGGAGGTCAAAAAATCCCCTGGTATTTTCTGATCTGACCACGCGGTAAAATTCCTTCCTGATTCCAAATGTGGAGATCAGTCTGACCTGGGGTGTAGGGGCAAGAGCCTCTAGCCAGGAACCTCCAGGTTTTAGTCATATTCCCTGTTTGGACATATTTTCATCTGACCATTCAAGATGAGAGCTGCCCAAGTGTACCAAAGCCCATGCCTCTATTAATGTTTAAAACAGAAATAAAATACAAGTTCCAAGTAGCACTACACACTAATATAGTCATCTACTTTCTTCCACAGTCTAATTTTTTTAACTTGGGGAATATAAACAAACTAGATCTACCTCAGTAACTACCTCAACACAGGCATGTTCCATGCTACACTGTATTCTGCAGAGGCCCCACATACAGACAAATAGGTCTAGGAACAACCCTGTATTAATAGGGTCAAGCGCTACTACTATAGTGTAAACATAACCACAAGACAGCTCAATTTCTTAGCTTGTTAAATTCACTTCTAAATCTCTTGTTTAAATGCATATTCCATATGCAGGTAGGAAAGGACATAGAAAGCTAACTGTATAGCTAATTTTGTAGCTGGTGACAACTCCATCAACTTTTTGTAGGTACATCTATCTCAAGCAGTCCACCTGTCCTCAGATGGCCTGCAATCCACATCTTTATCATCTTTGTTTTTTAACTCTCTGGATCCTCTCCAGTTTCTCTACATCCTTCTTAAATTGTGGATCCCAGAATAATGAAGAATATGCTAGCTGAAACCTAACTAAGACCAAGTAGGGCAATTATCTCCCAGGTCTCCTGTAGAGTAAGCAACCATCAATCCTCTGGATCACGGTGTACACATAAGAAGTCTAGGCAGATGCCTAATGAATCCATTTGAGGCTGACAAGTCCAATTCAACAGCACCACAGCTTGTTACAAGTTTCAGAGATCCATACGTTGTCTAAGCTGGAATCCAAATTTGCAGCATGCTGCGTTCTTCTCTCTCACTTTGCTTTCATCCTCTGGATCAAAAACACTTCATACTGAGCTGCACCTAGCGCCAGATGTTTCCTCCAGATTGGACAAGACTCTCCCAGTTCCTCCCAGTTTTTACACGGATGTTGAATGATTTCATATAATTTTTGCATATATCATGGTACTGCCATAGAGGGCTACCCCACTTTTTAGAGCATCTTTGAATCTCACTATACAACATATCCTTGGGGATATGATCTCCTATTCTCCTGACTCTAAGTGACTCTAAGTGACTGACTCTAAGTGTGTCAGTCCTGCATGTTCCAGTACCTCTGCATTTGGTATTCCATTTTCCCACTTTATTTTCAGGCTCTTATGTAGACATCTCATATGGAACCTGTTGATATGCTTAGCACATGTAGTCCACATTTCTGAACCATAAAGCAAGGCCGACAACACACGACTCTCATAGCTGTTAGTTTGCTGTTATTCTATGCACGTTTCTGTAACAGCTCGAAATTTTTAGCTGCTTTTCTGATTCTGTTAGTCAATTCAGTCTGAAGGTAAAGATTCCTGTTTACTGTAGAACCCAAGTAACAAAAATCATCAACGATGCCAAGAGATTTATCCTCCAGAGTGATGTCGGGTATTGGTACTTTCTTGCCTTGGTACATGATCACAGTCTTCTAGAGACTAATTGCCAACCCAAAACTCTTGCATGATTCTGAAAATCTGCACAAGAAATTTTGCAGAGAAGATTCACCATGGGCAACCAAGGCAATGTCATCCACAAACAGGAAATCTCTCAGAACCAATTCTTTCACCTTGATTTTCACTCTAAACCTTGCAATGTTCAAAAAGCCTCCATCTAGTGTGGTTCACAAATAAATGCCATAATTGCCATCTTTGACTGCATGAG